AATTATTCTTGCATTTTCAAAAATCAGTTGCCTCTGAGTTTTGGCCACTAACTGTTTTTCGCTCACGTTAATATTTGTTAAATAATATTTCATATCTCTCAAATGTAAGGAAATTATCTACTATATCTACTTTTAAAAGTAAAACACAATTGTTGTCTACAATAGTTGTTGATCATTATTGAGTAGATAGTTGTTGGTCATTATCTTTTACTTAGCTACTCGTGGAATGAATATTAATGAGAGTCGTTGAGGAGGAAGATTCATGTCTAGTATCCATGGGGTACATCATCAAAGATGGTTACATTCTTTAAATTACGTGCTATTAAAATTGTAGGTCAAATTTACAATTTTAATCTCGTAACTTTCAGGTTTTCCAATTAATATTACTACAACTTTAATCACTTGTAAATTTGGTGTCGTAAATAATAAGTTTTTACAATTTAAGGACTTTTTTCCCCAAGTACATTTTCCGGCAAAAAATATACCGCAAAAGATGCCGTTGATGTCGATTTTTGCCCGGAAAGTGTTCTTTTCCAATGGAAAAATCCTTAAATGACAAATATTTATTAGCCACTGGATCAAATTTATACAAGATAGTAAAGTTACAGGTTAGTAATACTCAAAAGTTATAAGACTAAAATTGTTAATCTCCCGAATTCTAGACATTTTTTCATCGTGAATATAAAGTCTTATTTGATGTTTTCAAAAGGGCAGGTACAATAAAACTATCAAATAGATGAGGAATATATATTGTGTATATACGTATATATATATTAGTACGTGTTGAATGGAGATCGATCTAGGAGTGAATAATTGAGCTCTGTCTTTTAGATCATTATAGACTAAATAAAGGATCAAATATAAAGTGCTCCTAATTTACAAAATACAAACTAATCTTGCCTTACTATTTGAAAGATCTAATGTCTGAAAACGTACCGAGTCATTTGGTAATGAAACCAAACTTTTTTGTAAGTAACACTTTGAACAAAAGCATTTTTTGGTGAAACCATTTGGTAATCTTGCCCCACCATATTTTGCTTGTAATATGCAAGTAATGCAACTGTTTATTTCCTCACAAAATGATATGTAACACTTTGAACATCTATATGCAATACAAATAGTGTAAGATGTATCGTTCAAATTTTTGCAAAGTAAAACCACTTTGTACTAGATCCGCCCTCTTCTAGACTATATGTTTACATATAATGAAAGTGAATTGGAATTGAAAGTAAGACTAGAACTGGAGGGCATAATGGGATTCCGGCGGAGCCAACATTTTAGGCCAAAAATGTAGTTTAAAATCCTTTTTTTTTTTACTATTAGTTTCAATCGTTAAATCTTAATTTTGTTCAAAGGAAGACCCTCAAACTGATTTTTTCACCTCTAACACTCATCTAGTGGTGGACTCGGTTCGGGCCGGGCCCGGTTCGGGCCTTGAACCGGCCGGGCCTCAGTTCACGGAAGGCAGGCCCGGAACCGGCCCGGATAACCCCAGGTCCGGTTCAGTTCGGGTCACCCGCCCGGTTCACGGGTCGGGCCTTTTAATTTTTTTTATTATTATTATATATTATATTATTAGAATAATTCTTATTACAATTACAATATATTATATTCTAATTCAAGTATATTTATTTCAAATAAGAAGTACAATTGAGAATTAGGATGAATTTAAACAATGTAATACATTTTGTAATAAAAAATCAATCGGAATCTCCGCCTTCGGTTGTTTCCTCCATAAAGTGGCGGGTGAGAGCGATGGTAATTTCTTGAGTTCTTCGTTGGGCCTTCAACCAATCGTGAAAGCAAACTAGTGTCTCAAGAGAGTTCGGGCTCAACCTCGTTCTATAATCGGTTAGGACGTTGCCGGCCGCACTAAATTCTTGTTCCACGGCAACGGTTGATATCGGCATTGCTAGCATTTGCTTAGCCATCTTTGATAAAATCAGGAACGTTCTTTCATTTTCCTTCCACCACTTAAGAACGTCAAAGTCATCACCAACTTCATAATCAACATTCAGTGTTAGATACAAAGAAAGCTCGTTACCTGAGCTTTGTTCAGTAGCAGGAGTTGCTCTACTTTTTTTCAAAAGAGAACCAAAAGCGGATTTTAAAGTGATTTTCCTTTAGATGAAGAAGATGTTCGTTGCATGGGAGGAGGTGCATTACCATATTGTGCATGAAATTCATTATACAATTGATGAAATAAATTACTAACATCGTTGAATTCTTGTTTAGGGTCGATGGGATTATCATCGAACTCTTGAGTTGGAAAAAAAGAAGAATAATAGTAATCTATACAATTTGCCAAGTAAGCAAGTTTATAACGAGGATCAAGAACAAATGCAATACCATATATATGCGGAATATGTGAATAATATTTTAAAAACTTTTGTTTCATGAAATCACAAAAATAACTAACGTAAGTGGCTTCGGAAAATTCACAAAAAGCGCCGGCGAGATTAACAGTTTCAACAAAAAATCGTTTGCGGTAGGTTTATAAACATGACTAAAAGTTTGAGTTGCGTTATTAAAATATGCCAAAACATTAACAATTTTTTCACAAGTGTCGATGTCAGCCGGGTTTATAATATAGTTACAAGTTTGTATTAAAAAAGCTGGAAAATGATCTTTATATCTAATAAGTACTTGAATTAAATTATAAGTACTATTCCAACGAATAGACAAATCTTTAGGAAAAGCACAATAACTGACATGTCTATCCTTCAAATATTGCCGTCATTGCATTTTTAGTGGAGTGCTAGCCCAAATCAATTTAATCCCCCCCTTCACTACCTCCAAAGCATTTCCTAATGCCGCTAAGCCATCTTGTACACATAAATTTAGAATATGACATGCAAACACAATTCACACAATTCACGTAATCTAGGTATAGCAGCAATATTATTACTAGCATTATGAAAACCTAGAGCAAGCACCTTATCAATCAAATTATACTCAATTAAAATACGTTCAATGAGAATATAAATATTATCAGCAGTGTGATGATCATTGAATTCACGAAAAGCAAGAACACGTTTATGCATATTCCAATCATCATCAATATAATGTGCAGTAAGACCCAAATAATATAAATGATGATAAGTATCCTCCCATAATCGCTACAAATACTAACACGTCCATCAAAGTTTGCGAAAAATGTTTGTAATTTTTCTTTTTCCAAGTTATATTGTCTTATAACTTCTTTTTTAATCGTTTTGCGACTATAATTTCTAAATTGAGGATTTAAAGTACCTTGAGCATAATCTCTTAAAGCAAGACTTTCGGAAAAAATATAGGGTAAATTTTCTTCAACAATTAAATGAGACATACCAGTCAAATGTTTTTTATCATCATAGGAAAAATTACCAAAGGGTTGAGAATTTGCAAACCTCGATATTTGTGTTTGCTTCCCCTTGCCTTTGTCTATTTTCGCATACTCCACAAAGTGGGCGGACTGAAGATGCCTTTTGAGACTCCCGTATCCGCCAGAAGTTCCCAAGCTAAACTCTTTCTTGCAATGATTGCAACTTGCGTACCATTTTTCGGTATTTTCGTCTTTCCTTTTTGTATAATTGTTTTCAATAATAGGAGATTTAGATTTCTTACCAATTTGGGTTGTAGTCATTGAACGGCCCTCGTCCTCCAACTCTTGCTCATCATCCGGGGTGCCGTGAGTCTCGTCGCCCCCCGCGTCCTCCTCCGCATCGTCATCCTCGAGCTCCTCTTCATCGATGGTTGTCGGGAATTGTTGTTCTTGTGCAAAGCGTGGATCATTTTGGGACAATAGGTGTTGTAGTTGCTCGTCGGACATCATCATATCATCTCGCCGTTGGTAATCCGTTTCAAAATCATCTCGACTTTGAAAAGAAGACTCGACCCGCGCTTTACCTTTGCCTTTGCGTGAAGTAGATCGAGTCGATGCAATCTCCCTCTTGCGGTTGCGTTGGAGATTACCCACATCTACAGAATGTCTACCACGCTCCATCTTTAAAATTGAACAAATATTAGCAATTAACTAATATGAGAAATGTAAAAATGTAGCAATTAACTAATATGAGAAATGTAAAAATTAACTACTTTTTTTTACTTTAATGAGCAATGTAGCAATTAACTAATATGAGAAACGTAAAAATGTAGCAATTAACTAATATGAGAAATGTAAAAATTAACTACCTTTTTTTTACTTTAATGAGCAATGTAGCAATTAACTAATATGAGAAATGTAAAAATTAACTACTTTTTTTTACTTTAATGAGAAATGTAGCAATTAACTAATATGAGAAATGTATAGAAAATATGAGTATAAATAGGTTTTTTTGTATACCCCACCCTCACCCTCACCCCACCCCCCTAACCCCCCAGACCCCCCCCCCCTCCTATGCTCCCAACGGCTATAGAGCCGTTTGGGAGCTCTCCCAACGGCTATAGAGCCGTTTGGGAGCTCTCCCAACGGCTATGGAGCATTTAAGTATTTAAAAAAGAAATTAAAATGTGACCGTTGCGGTCCGGACCGGGCCCGGCAAGGCCGGTTCACTAAAATGCAGGCTCGGGACCGAACCGCTAGATGACCGGGCCGGGTGGCCCGAACCGGGCACCAACCAGTTCACCGGGCCGGTCCGGGCCCGCACAGTAGCAGGCCGATCCGGTTCCGGGCCGGTTGGCCCCGCCCGAGTCCATCCCTACACTCACCTAAGGGTTAAAATTAATTTATCTTAAAAAGCAGATTTAGGCTTGGAAATTTTAAATTTTTTATGACTTAATGATTGAAACTAAAAGTTTATACAAAAAAAAAATCAAAAAAATGGATCACAAACTTCACCCTTGGCTTAAATTGAGTTGTGGATTCCCGTCACACCAGCCTGATATGATCATATGAATGTCATTCATATACACACACAATAAGAATTTACATTGAAATTTTAAGGTTTGACCCTTGTAGCATATATGTTTCAAGCTCTGACCTCATAGTTTTTGCTCCCCTACTGGCCGGTTAATCATAAGTTGTATAGTAACCTAATAGCTTTACTTCACTCATAGGTCATTTGAATTCCCAAGTTATTAACAAAAATGATCCTAGTATAAGGAAATTGAATGTAAAAAAGAAAAATCAAACTCAATCATGGCAAAATTCAAAAACAAGAATAAGAACAACATCCTACATTCTTTTCCTTTTATTGTTAAAATATCTTTGAAATTATACTCTACTATAGAAATACAAAATGCTCAAGTTTGTGGTTGGAAGGGAGTTTGCACAATGCCCATGAGAGAACCACTTGTTGATAATGTCTGGAGATGTAATGACTGTGGTTTCTGTGTGAGGCCACCTGTCCACCAACTTGAAACCGTATCGAGATGCTGCTGAAAGTATGGACAGTTCATCAACTCGGCGCGGAACATGGCAGAGAATCAAACCCGCTGGCTCCTCATCTTTAATAGCACCACCACCACCATCATCTACTCTTCTATGACAAATCAGCTCCCTTGCAGTTTCAAACAATGGTAATATCGCTTCCAGAACATACGCAACATCAGTGCCTAATATTATGTCAAAGCCCTTGTCGTTCATTCTTCGGATGGAGTCAATATCATCTTTGTTCCCCCATTCGAGCTTCATTGTGATCAGTTTTGCAAAAAGTGAGGGTTTGAGATTCAAGTTGATATTCTGGTTCAACAAGTCAAGAGCTTTTGAGTCTCCATCAGTGGCAACCACAAGTTGAGCAGATTTTGAAGCAGCCACCATAGAGCAGATCCCTGCACATCCGCATCCCAATTCGAGAACCCTTTTCCCCGAAACTATCCTCGGATTTTCAGAAAGCACAGAAGCCATAAACCGGGCCGATTCCCATAGCATCAAGCCAGTTGATTTACATGTATGCTGGTACTCTCTAGAAACCACATTTATCTTGAAGTGTAACTCATTAATGTTAAGTTCAACAACCTAAATATTACAAAAGGAGAGTTAGAAAATCAAATTAACTGGAAGATCAAATCATATACTGTTTACTTGGAAAACATCTATGCAGTTTTAGTCTTAATGCCAGTACATATTGTTTATGCATGCATGGTAAAATTGTAAAATTGTTTTTATTGGCTTATCACTTTATTGTAAAATTGCAGGCACTGAATTGGTTAATAGTGAAAAAAGTAAGGTTGTTGGAACTTATTTGACTGAATTGGTAGAATGAAACCATTTGAGCCATGATTTCAGCCACTTTACTCTTACCAATCAAGCGCTCAACCACTCAAGGGTTTTTGCCCCCTGACAACTCAAGGCTAAAACACTTGATCCACCCGAGAGTAAAATGGCATGCATGTACTCATTTAAGTCTTGTTATAAATTCCTTGAATGTCAAGGAAAAGTATCTTTTAATTCTTGTAAGACAACTACTTTGGGCAAAGGGAATAGACAAAGTACAGATATCATGAACATATCTTTATGTAAGTTTAAATATCTATACACGCATCCAAAATCAGTGGTTTAATTATTGTTTTATGTGAAAGTATTGTTGTATCTAGGAATATGCTTTAGGAATATGCTCTAGAATATGCTTTAGGAAAATACTCTAGACATTATTATTGTATAGCATCTTATATAGGAATATTCCATCTTTGTAATATATATATAGGCCCTTAACCCTCTAATGAAAAACACAGAAAATCTTTCCTTCACTTTTCAATATAATTCTAGTTTATATTTCAACATGGTATCAGAGCGGTAAAAAAAAATCAGAAAATCAATTAGCTGCTAATTTCCAGAAAATCAATTAGCTGCTAATTTTTCAGAAACTCAATTAGCTGCTAATTTTTCAGAAACTCAGTTAGTCTTTACAGCCCCATATTCTCTTCAGACCAGACTGCATCAAAGCCATACCCAGGAGGTGCGCCTACCTCCGACGACCCCACAGCCATAATCCGACGTCCAACTACACTGCGAGTGTGCTACACGCGCCACCACAAGTCCGGCGACCTCAACTCACGCGCCGGCGCGTGACGTATATTCGCGGCCCAGATTTTCGATCGAAAACCGCATTCCGGCTCGCCTACGGCCAGGGAACGAGCGTGCAGAAGACAACCGAGAGGACAAGCCTATTAGGCATCATGGTTGTGGATACCTATGCTTGCACTCCTACAACATCCCATCAGTAAGCACACGTGGATTCAAATCTGATAACAAGTTTTGTCTCACACTTTTTTGAGTCTGTTTACTAGCGGTCAACAAGGAGAATACAGAAGTCCAATTCTATTGAACTTCCTTTCTTTTATTCTTTGCTTTACTTAAAAAAAAATTAAAAAAAAAGAAAAAAAAATGTCGTGTGCAGGTCAACTTAACAGAGGAGTAATATGCAATTACTGCAAGAAGTCCGGGCACTTGATCAAAGAATGTAGGAAATTGGTATTCAAGAATCAAGGAAATCAGTTTGGTCATGTTGCTTCCGCTACCAGTTCATCTGATGGATCAATTGTTGTTTCTTCAGACGAGTATGCCAAATTTATTTCCTACTAAGAATTTTTGAAGCATTCATCTGCCCCTATCTCGGTAGTCGCTAATTCAGGTATTTCAAGCACATGTCTTGTTTCCTCATCCTCGAAATGGGTCATTGACTCAGGTGTCACAGATCTTATGACTGGTAATCCTAGTCTATTCTCATCATTTCATTCGTATTTACCTAATTCTAGTGTCACTTTAGCTGATGGATCTACCTCACCTGTTCTTGGATCTGGTACTGTTGTCCCAACTTCTACGTTACCATTATCACATGTTTTGAGTCTTCCTAATTTTGCATTTAATCTGCTTTCCATTAGTAAAATCACATGAACTCTTAATTGTTCTGTAACATTTTTTCCTGGATATTGTGTGTTTCAGGATCTGTTGACAAAGCAGACTATTGGTAAGGGACATGAGTCGACTGCCCTTTATATTTTGGATACATCAATCACAAAAGGTATCTCTTGTCTTGGGGTTGCAAATCTATTAGAAGCTCATTACCGATTAGGACATCCATCTCTCCCACTAATGAAGCAAATATATCCTCAGTTGAATAAGGTGTCATCTATACAATGTGAGTCGTGTGAATTTGCAAAACATCATCGTACTAGTTTAAGTCCTCGACTTAATAAACGAGCAAACGCTCCGTTTGATCTTGTTCATACTGATGTTTGGGGGGCATGTCCTGTTGTGTCCAAATCTGGCTTCAAATATTTTGTTACATTTGTTGACGATTATTCTCGTATGACATGGTTATACTTTATGAAACGTCGATCAGAGTTATTTACTCATTTTTCTGCATTTTGTGCTGAAATTAAAACTCAATTTAATGTTCCTGTTCGTGTGTTGAGGGGAGACAATGCCCAAGAATATCTCTCGGCTCCATTTAAATCTTTTATGCTTCAAAATGGCATTATTCATCAAACTTCATGCGTAGACACACCTCCTCAAAATGGAGTCGCTGAAAGAAAGAATCGACATCTGTTAGAAACTGCAAGGGTTCTTCTATTCCAAATGAATGTGCCTAAAACGTTTTGGGCGGATGATGTGGCTACCGCATGTTTTTTGATAAACCGTATGCCGTCTTCTGTTTTAAATGGTAAAGCTCCTTATCACTGCCTGTTTCCAAATAAAGAACTTTTTCCTATCCCACCTAAAACATTTGGTTGTACTTGCTTTGTTAGAGACGTTAATCCTCATCTTACAAAGTTAGACCCCAAATCATTAAAATGTATTTTCTTGGGTTATTCTCGAGTTCAGAAGGGGTATAGATGTTTTTGTCCAAGCACAGGTCGATATCTTGTTTCTATTGATGCATCATTTCATGAAAATACACCTTTTTCATCATCCAAGACAGATATTCATGATGACAATGATGAAATACTCATTTACTCTGTCACTATACCGGAATCTACACCTTATGTAGTTATTCCTCATGTTACTGTTCCCGACCCCAGACCGCCAGTACACTTGGTTTACACCCGTCGAAACAGAGCACCAGATCACCCTCCACCTGTGACTCCTGTGATTACTTATCCCGATATTGGTCCGTCCTTGAGCTCATGTCCTGAACCAGTACATGCATCTTCAGATCTTGTCTCTACATCAGATCTTGACCTTCCGATAGCACTATGTAAAGGTACACGGTCTTGTACTCACCACATTTCTTCATTTGTGTCGTATAGTCAGTTATCCTCTGCCTCATGTTCTTTTATTGCTTCCATCGATTCTATTTCTGTTCCTAAATCTGTTAAAGAAGCTTTGTCTCATCCTGAATGGCGTCATGTCATGGTAGAGGAAATGAATGCTTTGGATCTTAATGGTACTTGGGATTTGGTAGACTTGCCTACAGGGAAGAAGTCTATTGGATGTAAGTGGGTCTTTGCTGTTAAGGTTAATCCAGACGGATCTGTTGCTCGGTTGAAAGCCCGATTAGTTGCGAAGGGTTATGCTCAAACCTATGGTGTTGATTATTCTGACACTTTTTCTCCTGTTGCTAAATTAACATCTGTCAGGTTACTTATTTCACTCGCTGCAACTCATGATTGGCACTTACATCAGTTGGACATTAAAAATGCATTCTTGCATAGTGACCTTCAGGAAGAAGTTTACATCGAGCAACATCCGGGGTTTGTTGCTCAGGGGGAGTATGGTAAAGTTTGTCGACTTCGAAAATCTCTTTATGGTCTAAAACAGAGTCCTCGTGCATGGTTTGAGAAGTTCAGTCGGTCAATTGAACAGTTTGGAATGATCAAAGGCAAATCAGATCACTCACTCTTTTACAGACGAACAAAAGCAGGTATCACTCTTATATCTTTCATGCTCCCAAAGTCATCTCCACCAACATTTCACATTTTACTTGTCCTCCATATAGGGGTGGGCAAAAATACCGGAAAATCGGTATACCGCACTTACCGTACCAAAAATACCGAAAAATACCGGAATATTGGTATACCGTCATTTTTGGTATGGTATCATACCGTACCGATTTATTTCGGTACGGTAACAGTAAATGTTTTCAAATACCGCGGAATACCGGTATAATACCGTACCGACTCCCTACCCAACAATTATTACTTTTAATTATAGAGTATTGTAAAACTTCATTACAATTATGAAGCCCAAAATTAATACTTACATTGGTTACAAATCTCCAATGACTAATTAGTAATGTACTAATGTCTAAAAACAAGTTCATCTTGTTCCAAGAGTTTGCGAGTTGCGATGATTGAGTCGTTGAGTAGCTGATGAGTGGAGAGAGGTACACTTATGTGACATGTGTATCTACATAGGGATTCCACGCGATTCGAGGCACACAACTTTGTCCGAAAGTCTTATTCATTTTTTAAAAAATATATAAAAAATGACTAAATGCACAATATCATACTACCTCCATCCCAAAATGATTAGTCAAATCCAAAACTTTGATGATTAATATATATTTATTGAAAATTATTTATAATATAAAAATTATATGAAAATGTTCTTTGTTAAAAGTACTTTCATAAAGTATAAAATTTATAACCTTCATAATATTATACTAATCAAAATCATGGTCCAAATTTTGAGATTTGGCTAAACATTTTGGGACAGAGGTAGTATTAGGAATAAATGATTTTATATCCATGTTGTTTGAATAATTTTATTTATTATTGTTAGAGATCACTATTGATTTAATTATATCTATATCGTTCAAGTTATTTTAGGAGAAAGTGTTGTTTTTTAGTACGTGGCATGTTGAACTGCTTAAATATACTAAGAATAATTATTGTTCAATATTGAGTATGACATCAATAGATTATTAATTATATTTGTAAAATTTTAATAATGAAATAAATATGTCACTAGTAACACCGATTTAGCATATTTCGTTAGTCTATGATAATTTGTTGTATTGGGAGACATGCATGGTAATTTACCGATACCGTACCGTTACCGAACCGAAATTCGGTAT